AATCAGGTTTCTGCTTTTTGTAGCATACCCTTCTTCTCCCCGATGTTCTCCAGATGTGTTTCGACACAACGCTTGCTGATTTCCATGTCCATATTCTTCAGGGGAGAAGAATGAAGGTATAGCTGTCAGAAATTCCAATTCTTATGAAAAAGAAGGACAATTGTAGAATCACATAAAAGCTCAAATAATTCGTGTTTGAAATATTTCAAATTCATTCGAAATAGGAAGTGTTAACACCGCTTTATAAGGCCTTGGTAAGGCCACACTTGGAATCCTGCATCCAGTTTTGGTCGCCATGATATAAAAAAAGATGTGGAGACGCTGGAAAGAGTGCAGAGAAGAGCAACCAAGAGGATTAGGGGATTGGAGGCTAAAACAGAATGGTTGATGGAATTGGGTAGGTCTAGTTTAATGAAAAGAAGGACTAGGGGTGACATGATAGCAGTCTTCCAATATTTGAGGTGCTGTTGTGGCTCCGTTACCTGAGCCTGTGTCATCGGCAGGAGAGGACTCCGAGAGTGAAGGAGAGGAGTTGGCAAGGCCTCCCTCTCCAGGACCCTCCTCTCTGGCAATGCCTTTGGTGTCCACCGAAGGGCAAAAGATAGGGCCGGGGCCAAGCATGTCCACGCAGCCACAGATGGACAGTGATGAGGGAGATGAGTCTTGGCTGGATCCACGCCAGCGTCGCAGAAATAAGCGCGTGCAACAGAAGAAAAGGCATGCCAGAGATTAAGCTGAGTCACTGGACCACACCCCACAGGGGATAAAAGGGGGTAAGGTGGCCATTGAGACTCTGTGACGGACAAAACTAACTACTATCGAGTCACATTGCATCTTTGGAAACAACATTATCGGCCTTGGGTTTATTTTACGAACTGGACAATTATTGAACTGTGTGTATTTTGTTTATGAGTAAAGTTCTTGGCAAGCAGCTACTGGGTTACTGCCAAGCTTCTTATTGGAAGAATTGGTTGTCTGCCAGTTTATTTAACCCCCGGCTGTCTGTTTGTGTGCGTGTGTGAGACGGGGACAGAACAGGTGCTGCCACAGAGAAGAGGGCGTCAAGCTATTCTCCAAAGCACCCGAAGGCAGGACAAGAAGCAATGGATGGATATTAATCAAGGAGAGAAACAATGTGGAACTAAGGAGAAACTTCCTGACAGTGAGAACAATTAACCAGTGCAACTACTTGCCACCAGAAGTTGTGGGTGCTCCATCACAGGGGGGTTTTAAGAAGAGGTTGGACAACCATTTGTCTGAAATGGCATAGGATTTCCTGCCTGAGCAGGAGGTTGGACTAGAAGACCTCCAAGGTCCCTTCCAACCAGTAGTGGGATTCAGCCGGTTCGCACCAATTTGTTAGAACCGGTTATTAACTTTCTGAGCAGTTTGGCAAACTGGTTGTTGGAAGAAATCATTAGGGCAGAGAACCGGTTGTTAAAATTACTTGAATCCCACCACTGCTTCCAACTGTTTCTTTGTTATATTCTGTTAACATGATTTTATATTATTTTGAAAATTATATTTACAATTCAAAATAACTATAATTGAATAAGTCACCAATCAAGAAGGCTCCAAACCTGATGTGTGTCTATGATTTTGTTTGGGCCCAGTCTTGCTCTTTTAATTTTTAAAAAAGTTTTGCAATTTCTATCCGATCTTTCATGCAAACACATTTATTCTCTTATTCCCATTCTTGCGCAGCGACTTTCAATGTAGGCGAGCAAAAAAAAATGGGGCACAGGTTCTTGAAAAGAAGGTCACGCACAAACGGCAGACAAAATTAAACAGTTGTTAACAGTCCAAATGTTGGTTCAGTTTTGGCTTTTAATTACAAATCTCGTACAGCCGGCTTATTTCAATGCGTTTAAAATCCCATATAATCAAGACATTTCTCCCCCAAATCTGCATTCATATATTTCACGAAGCTGAATAAAGTGCAAGTGACACAAGACTTCATAACTTATAAAAATGGCTGATAGAACCAGCGAAATCAGAGATCAAACATCTTCGGATTTACCTGACATCGTAATTGCAGGGACAGTCATAATGTTAATATGTTCCCGAGTTCAATAACTTTTTCTTCAAGTTATTAGAAATGCAAGGAAGGAAAAGGCATTCAAAAAAGACACACCGAGTGACAAAACCACAAAAAAAAGATACAAAAACAGATGTATTGTAAAGCAGAGTTTCTCAATTTATGTTGGGTGGACTTCAACTCCCATAATGCCGTAGCTGATATCTACAGACTTCAACTCCCAGTATTCTCCAGCCGGGATGTCGACTGGGAATGCTGGGAGTTGAAGTCCACCTATCCAAAAGTTGTTAACGTTGAGAAAGGCTATTAATAAAGAATAATTCAACGAAGGTCATAAAATTGTGTGTGACAATAAAGAGCAGTTAAAAAGGACGCAACGTGCACATTGAGGGTAACAGATGTCTGATCCACGATTTGGAATTTCAAAAGTAGATGGGTTTATGCTAAGGTTTGAGGAGACTGAATTAAACAGAAGATTAAGCGACTATCCAATTTTTGGACGGGGCAAAACTCACTCTGCAACTTGTCTCGCTGAGCAACGACAACGTATGGCTTCGATTGTGGTTGTTAAGTTGAGGACTACCTGTAATGCTTTCATTTGTAGATTTATTTCATTTGGCACGCAAAAGGAATAAGGAGTTTGGACTGTAGTGGAAACAAGGTGATAGGATGGTGGTTGATTTCTCAGGATGACGGAAAACATGTGAATTGTTACGGTTTAGCACAACTGCCCTTAGTCCGAATCTTTGTCATCGATCCTTGTTTGCAGGGATACAGATCACATTAATTTTACTACAATATTAAGCATTCACTGCTCTTTTAAAAGGAGGATAAAACAGAAGAAATGAAAACACTTTTGGTCCTTGGCAAAACACGGTACTTTCAAAATTTGTCATCTCTCGTTGAAAGCTTATTTCTCTACAGTTTGATCCCCAAGCCCCCAAAATTGAAGTTTGATTCTAACACAAATATGACTTTTTTCCACCCCTTTGGATTAGCAGAAGCCCAAAAGGTACAGGGAAGGCAGCCCTTGACTTACAACAGTTCATTTAGTGACTTAAAGGAAGCTGTTTCTTCAGAATGTAAATTGAAAAAGCTTCAAATGAATTTGGGGTGTTCTGTAAAAAAAACCCCGAAAAAAATGCTCTTGGACGATGCTACGGATAAAGACTGTTCCATAATGGAAATTCAACTCCATCTAACTTTTCAAAAACAAAAAAATTGGTTTATTTTACATGGGAAATTTCTATAGGAAGAGTTAAAAAACAAACAAACGAACAAACCAAGAGTAAAAATAAAACAAGCCAATGGCACTTCAACGACTCAAAAATGTTCTGTGGCACCTGGACATTTATTTGGAAAATACTCTTGAAAAATATGGCCAAAAGACAAATCATTTCATTTTCCTATTGTGCACCCACAGACTTATAAATGGGGTGGGTGTGAATTTAACAATCACCACAATGTTTGGGGAAGACCTCCGATCTGGAAAATTTTTCCTTATTGCAATACTGTTATTTAGATAGATATATATATTTCCCTGCTCTGTTTCAAGGACTTATGGCAAGTTGGAAAGATCCACTGGTTGGTTAGTGAATCGTAAATCTAGGGCAGTGTTTCTTAATCTCAGTAGTTTAAACCATGTGGACTTCAACTCCCAGAATTCCCCAACCAGCTTGGGGAATTCTGGGAGTTGAAGTCCACAGGGCTTAAAAGTTCTTGAATTTGAGAAACACTGTTCTATCGGATACTGGAGATGGGATCCAGCTTCTGAAACACTCAACTTCGTTATTCATTTTAAAATTTACTTTTAAAAACCCAGAAAGACGAAAGCAATTCCTGTTGAAATAATAAAAAAACTCCTGTTGAAACCAAAAAACTCCTGTTGAATATCAAAAAAACTCCTGTTGAAATCAAAAGGAAGACAGCAGAAGACATTTGAAGGACTGGAATGGTTAATGAAATGCAAACTAAGCTGTGAAGACTTCCGTGGCTAAGCTTAGATATTATGCAATTCCTGCAGAGGCGCCACAACGCAACACAGATATCATACATCATGTCCGATGAGGCTGTCCGTCTCGCGTTCCCTAGCTTTGCCCTCCAAGGATGTCGACAGCACCACCCACGGTGCATCGGTGAAGAATGTGCCCTTTGGCAAATATGGCGATGCGACTCACAGGCTGGTCACACACACGTGTGCCCAGAGGGGAGTTGTGTCCCTCCGTCAGTTTTTGCACAGAGCGTTTGGCTTGGAAATTTGTCTGTGTGAGTTGACCTTCCAACTCTGGTTACTGATGATATCCCAGGAAAGAGGAGGAGGAGGAGAAGAAGGAGGAGGTGGTGGAGGAGGAGGAAGAGGAGGAGGAGAAGAGAAGGAGGAGGTGGTGGAGGAGGAGGAAGAGGAGGAGGAGAAGAAGAAAAAGAAAAGGAGGAGGTGGTGGAGGAGGAGGAAGAGGAGGAGGAGAAGAAGAAAAAGAAGAAGAAGAGAAGAAGTAGAGGAGGAGAAGAAGAAGAAGAAGAAGAAGAAGAAAAGAAGAGGAGGAAGAGAAGAAGAAAAAGAAGAAGAAAAGAAGAAGAAGAGAAGAAGAAGAGGAGAAGAAGAAGAAGAAAAAGAAGAAGAAAAGAAGAAGAGGAGGAGGAGAAGAAGAAAAAGTAGAAAAGAAGAAGAGAAGAAGAGGAGGAGAAGAAGGAAAAGAAGATGAAGAAGAAGAGGAGGAGGAGAAGAAAAAGAAGAAGAAAAGAAGATGAAGAAGAGGAGGAGGAGAAAAGAAGAAGAAAAGAAGAAGAGAAGAAGAGGAAGAAGAGAAAAGAAGAAGAAAAGAAAAAGCAGAGGAGGAGAAAAGAAGAGAAGAGGAAGAGGAGGAGGAGAAAAGAAGAAGAAAAGAAGAAGAGGAGGAGGAGGAGGAGGAGGAGGAGGAGGAGGAGAAGAAGAAGAAGAAGAAGAAGAAGAAGGAGGAGGAGGAGGAGGAGGAGGAGGAGGAGGAGGAGGAGGAGGAGGAAGACGTGGCATTTTGGCTTCTTGGAAAAAAGGCACCTTTTAGTGTCAAACTGTGAAAAACAACCCAGGTGGAACTTAGAAGGGCTGGTCCCATTTCAAAAGGGAAGACATGCACAGTCTATGGAGACAACCGACAAGCACACACAGTGACGTACGTCGAGGAATCGTGGAAGATGGCGCAGAGCGAGAGAAGGCCTCAGATGCTCGTGAGAACTTGGCTACTCAACAACTGCACCTTAAGAAGGCCGGGCAGATCCGAAACCCGTTTGTTCCCTCTGTCTTGGAGGTGGAGAATGTGCAAAGGCTGAAGCTCGTTGGGGTCTCCGACCAAGGCGACTTGACCCAGAAACTCATCTGTGATCAGGTTGTGGTTCCAGATCTGGAGGGAGAGAAAGAGGAAGGAGGTTCAGGGGAGAAATCACTGAATCACAGAGTTGGAAGGGACCCTGGAGGTCTTCTAGTCCAGCCCCCTGCTCAAGCGAACCTATGGCACGCATGTCACAGGTGGCACATGGAGCCATATTTTTGGGCACGCGAGCATTGCCCTAGCTCAGCTCCAGCCCGCATGTGTGCGCTGACCAGCTGATTTTTGGGCCTTTGGGGCCCACTGTAAGTCTGGAAACGGGCCGTTTCTGGCCTCCAGGGGAGTGGGGAAGGCTGTTTTCGTCCTCCCCAGGCTCCTAGAAAGCCTCTGGAGCCTGGGGAGGGCAAAAAATGGGCCATGTGCCAAAAAAGCGGGGTCGTACAGGGCAGGGGGCATCGAATTATAGGTGTGGGCACGTGCGCGCTCGACCCCGCCATGCTTCCCCCCGCTTTCGGCACGCGATGGCAAAAAGGTTAGCCATCACAGCCCTATCCCATTTCAGACAAGTGGCTGTCCAGTATCTTCTTAAAAACCTCCAGCGTTGGAGCATTCACAACTTTCTGGTGGCAAGCAGTTCCACTGGTTAATTGTCCTCACTGTCAGGAAGTGTCTCCTTAGTTCTAGGTTGCTTCTCTCCTTGATTTAGTTTCCATCCGTTGCTTCTTGTCCTGCCTTCAGAGTCCTTGGACAATAGGTTGACCCCAGCGGTGAATTCCGGCCGGATCTCTCCGGATCGCGCGAACCGGTAGCACCAGCTCCACCCACCCGCCGGGATGTCATTACGTCCTATTTTTGAGCCTCTGCACATGTGCAGAAGAGGCACGCGTGAGCGGTCATACTCCTGAACGGGTAGCGAAGGTAAGTGCATTTTACCGCTGGCTGACCCCTCCTCTTATTTTTGGGGCAGCCCCTCAAATATTGGAACACTGCTATCAAGCCAGCCTTCATTAGATTAGACAAACCGTTCTTTGTATGTTTTAGCCTCCAGTCCCCTAATCCTCTTTGTCGCTCTTCTCTGCACTCTTTCCAAAATCTCAACATCTTTTTTACACCGTGGCGACCAAAACCGGATGCCGTATTCCAAGCGTGGCCTTACCAAGGCCTTATAAAGTGGTATTAATACTTCACCTGATCTTGATTCTATCCCTCTGTTGATGCAGCCTAGGACTGCGTTGGCTTTTTGGTCCTTTATGTGCCGTGACTCGTTGGCCTCCAACTCGGGAGTTGCTCTAGAGCAAGAGTCCCCAAACTTGGCAGCTTTAAGACTTGTGGACTTCAACTCCCAGAATTCTCCAGCCAGCATAGCTGGAGACATTTTAAAACTTGTGTGGGTGAGAGCTGCAGAAAAGCTCCGTGATTGATTTGAGTGATTGGCATTTCGACAGGGGAAAGAAAGTAAACACTGGAAATTTAAGAAAATGGAATGTATTTGAGCCTCGTCTTCACATGGGTGCAACTGGGACCTGCTGGGGGATTCTGGGTATTAGAGGATGAGGATCACCAAAGCTATTTTATTTATTTTATATGTTATTTATTTTATTTTATATTTTATTTAAGTTATTTTATACAGTGTTTTCCTGAAAATAATACCCAGTCTTATATTTTTTTGAACCCTGAAATGAGCGCTTGGCCTTATTGCCATGCGCTCAAAAGCCGGATTGGGCTTATTATCAGGGGAATGTCTTATTTTGGGGGAAACAGGATATTTTATTTAAGTTATTTTATATTTTGTTTAAGTTATATTTTATTTAAGTTATATTTTATTTAAGTCATTTTATATTTTATTTAAGTTATTTTATATTTAAGTTATTTTATATTTAAGTTATTTTATATTTTATTTTATTTACTTTACATTTTATTTAAGTTATTTTACATTATATTACTTATTTTATATTTTATTTAAGTTATTTTACATTTTATTTAAGTTATTTTACATTTTATTTAGGTTATTTAAGTTATTTTATATTTTATTTAAGTTATTTTACATTATATTTAAGTTATTTTATATTTTATTTAAGTTATTTTACATTATATTTAAGTTATTTTATATTTTATTTAAGTTATTTCACATTATATTTAAGTTATTTTATATTTTATTTAAGTTATTTTACATTTTATTTAAATTATTTTATATTTTATTTAAGTTATTTTATATTTTATTTGTTATTTTATATTTTGTTAAAGTTATTTTATATTTTATTTATTTTATACATTTTATTTAAGTTATTTTATATTTTGTTTAAGTTTTTTTGTTTTTTTTTTAAATTTGATTTATATGCCGCCCTTCTCCGGAGACTCAGGGCGGCTTACAATGTGCTCAGCAATAGCCTTCATACTTTTGTATATTTTTACAAAGTCAGCTTATTGCCCCCACAAACTGGGTCCTCAATTTACCTACCTTAGAAAGGATGGAAGGCTGAGTCAACCTTGAGCCTGGCGAGATTCGATCTTACTTTAATTGCAGGCAGCTGGTGTTGAATTACAGAGCTCTGTCTGTTGAGCTATCCAGGCTCCCTTTATATAACTTTATATATAAAGTTGCTTTATATTTTATTTTATGTTGCCCATCTCGCTGTCCAAAGCAACTCTTTCAGCTTTACCTGAATTATGACCGGCTGCCTCGGTTTCTTGCGGTAGAAAAGTCCTTTAACATCAAATTCCGGCGTCAGGGTGTTTTTTAGCACCGGTGATCGGATTTTCTCCCCTTCACACTTTATGATCACATAAGGATCCACTCCTGAGGACAAGGTGAAACAAAAGGAATTGTCACCTCATGTTTCCTGTTCCTCTTAAGTAAGTAAGCCTGTCCTGTCTTCTTGATTCTTAAATTCGTTGATTCTTAAATTCCTTCCTTAAAATTCGCATGATAATTGTATGACCAGTTTCCAAAATCCTCCAAATATCTCTGTATGCCCTTCGGCCAAACTTCGTCTACCACTATGAGGAATGTAAGAGGTGAAGGAGAAATTCCACTAATAGAAAAATAATTTATACCTGGGGATTGAACTGTGGGGTCCTTGGTGGTCTCTGAGCTTGGTTGTTTTCTTGAAGACCTCTCATGACCCACCTAGGTAACATCCTCAATGCTAGAAGGGTATGGGGTTTGCTCTCTGTTTATATGCAAGAAGCTTGCTTGCAAAGAGCAAACCTCACTCCCTTCTAGCATTGAGGATGTTACCTAGTTGGGTCATGAGACGTCTTCAAGAAAACAACCAACCTCAGAGAGCATCAAGGACTCCATAGTTGTTGTCTTCTTCTTCCACCAGATGTTTCAACTACTTAGAACAGTGTTTCTCAACCTTGGTGACTTGAAGATGGGTGGACTTCAGCTCCTGAATTCTCAACCTTCTCAACCTTAACAACTTGAAGATGGGTGGACTTCAACTCCCGAATTCTCAACCTTCTCAACCTGAACAACTTGAAGATGGGTGGACTTCAGCTCCTGAATTCTCAACCTTCTCAACCTTAACAACTTGAAGATGGGTGGACTTCAACTCCCCGAATTCTCAACCTTCTCAACCTTAACAACTTGAAGATGGGTGGACTTCAACGCCCTGAATTCTCCACCTTCTCAACCTTAACAATTTGAAGATGGGTGGACTTCAACTCCATGAATTCTCAACCTTAACAATTTGAAGATGGGTAGACTTCAACTCCCCGAATTCTCAACCTTCTTGACCTGAACAATTTGAAGATGGGTGGACTTCAACTCCCCGAATTCTCAACCTTCTCAACCTTAAGAACTTGAAGATGGGTAGACGTCAACTCCCCGAATTCTCAACCTTCTCAACCTTAACAAGTTGAAGATGGGTGGACTTCAACTCCCCAATTCTCAACCTTCTCAACCTTAAGAACTTGAAGATGGGTAGACTTCAACCTGAATTCTCCACCTTCTCAACCTGAACAACTTGAAGATGGGTAGACTTCAACTCCCTGAATTCTCAACCTTCTCAACCTTAAGAACTTGAAGATGGGTAGACTTCAACTCCCCGAATTCTCCACCTTCTCAACCTGAACAACTTGAAGATGGGTAGACTTCAACTCCCAGAATTCTCAACCTTCTCAACCTTAACAACTTGAAGATGGGTAGACTTCAACTCCTGAATTCTCAACCTTCTCAACCTGAACAACTTTGAAGATGGGTGGACTTCAACTCCCCGAATTCTCAACCTTCTCAACCTTAAGAACTTGAAGATGGGTAGACGTCAACTCCCCGAATTCTCAACCTTCTCAACCTTAACAAGTTGAAGATGGGTGGACTTCAACTCCCCAAATTCTCAACCTTCTCAACCTTAAGAACTTGAAGATGGGTAGACTTCAATTCCCCTATTCTCAACCTTCTCAACCTGAACAACTTGAAGATGGGTAGACTTCAACTCCCTGAATTCTCAACCTTCTCAACCTGAACAACTTGAAGATGGGTGACTTCAACTCCCCGAATTCTCCACCTTCTCAACCCTTAAGAACTTGAAGATGGTAGACTTCAACTCCCCGAATTCTCCACCTTCTCAACCTTAACAACTTGAAGATGGGTAGACTTCAACTCCCTGAATTCTCAACCTTCTCAACCTGAACAACTTGAAGATGGGTGGACTTCAACTCCCCGAATTCTCAACTTTAACAACTTGAAGATGGGTAGACTTCAACTCCCTGAATTCTCTACCTTCTCAACCTGAACAACTTGAAGATGGGTGGACTTCAACTCCCTGAATTCTCAACCTTCTTGAGTTGAAGATGGGAGGACTCCCAAACTCTGGGAGTTTAAGGCCTCTCATCTTCAAGTCAAGAAGGTTGAGAATTCTGGGAGTTGAAGCCCACCCATCTTCAGGTCACCAAGTTTGAGAAACACTGACTTAGAAGAAGACACCTATTTCCCTTCTCTTTGATCGGGTTGGAGTGAAACCAATATTGACACCTTCTTCAGCGCTTTGGTTCTTCAGCCCGGAAGCCGAGATGACATGGACCTGGGACACCAATTGGGGATAGCCACACATTCCACTCCAGCAGGTGTGAGGGGGCTCGTCCAAGGTCAGTTCTCTGGAGAAAGAAGATGAAAAACCCAAGAGATATCAGATATTTCGAAGACCAGGAAAAGAACCTCCTTTAGAAGCAAGGACCCAACTGTTGTGGTCCGCCAGCAGCCTGCGGAGCTGGTAGCAGAGTCGGACAGTGAGGAGGCTGGGGAGGACCATGGGCCAGTCCTGGAGTCTGGGGAAGGCTCGGACGAGGGCTCTGTGTCGGAGCCAGAGAAAAGGCCATCTGGGAGGTATGTGCTGCCTCCGGAGCCTCCAGAGTTGGACATCAGAGAGGCAGAGGAACAGGGGGAGCATGTTCCCAGTGCACGCATGCGCAAAGCTGCCAGAAGGTAAGAACAGCTAAAACAAAAGGGACGACTCGGGAGTAAGGCTTGAAGATGATTGGCCCCTCCCATAAGACTTAAAAGAGGAGCAAAGGCACATGTGCCTTTGCAGGAAGCAACGTTTGTTCATTCTGGGCAGTTTAAAGCCTGAAGCTCTGTTTGATTCTGGACTCCGTGTGGCTTTGCCAGTTAGGTCTTTGGCAGCGTGTCAAGGAAGATAACGGTGGGCGATTATCCCGAAGGACTTCTCCCAAAGGACTTTTTGCAATTAATTGGGACTCAGCTGTGAATGAACGTAATTCACAGCTGTTGCAGTAAAAGAGGTTTTTTGGGACTACTCGTCTGTTTTAAGGACTCAGGAAGCCTAGGTCACAACGCCAACCAGGCCAACCTTCACGCACAATCAAACGAAAAGCAGCTCTGAATTGTAGCTGAACAAGATAAGACACTGTAAAATGCAAAGAGGCCCTGTGGTGGGCTTAACACAACATGCGTAACCGGATCAATGAAAGACCGAGGGACTGCATTCGCATGACACGCGTAGTTTTAACCCTGGTTAGGTTTTTGCGGCTTATCCAAATTCTAACCAAACCTACGTTTGCACGTAGACAATAATTTAGGTGAATTTGGAGAACCGGTTAATTCTGTTTTGTGAATGTTGTGAAGGTCCTGAGTCAATATGTCAAGAGAATTCATGACTGGCAGAGACATAGTAACAAGGTCAGCCAATGAATAGGCATAGCAACTGGGTCAGCCAATGGGGACTGTTTGGAAACTGAAACAGTATTTGCTGGAGACAGCTAGGAGCCTGGGGGTGGCTTAGGCTTAGCTCAGTGATGGCTAACCTTTTTGCCGTCGCGTGTCAAAAGCGGGAGGAGCACAGGGGGGGTTGCGAGCGCGCATGCCCACACTCATAATTCAATGCCCCCCCACCCTGCCCCCCTGCACATGCGCGCGTGCACCCCCCGCATTCCGTTTTGGCCCTAGCAGGCCTACCTGAAGCCTCCGGAGGCCAGGAACGGCCTGTTTCCTGACACCCGGAAGGCCCGTTTTTCATCCTCCCCACGCTTGAGGCTTTCTTGGAGTCTGGGGAGGGCAAAAACAGCCTCCCCCACCCCTCGGAGGCCCTCCAGAGGCTGAAAACACCCTCGCAGACCCTCCACGCGAGCCCTTACCTGGCATCCAAAACGGGCTGCGTGGAGATTCCTGGGAGGGGTGGCGTGGGCGGGGCCAGCCGAAAATCAGCTGGCCGATGCACGCATGCACGCTGGAGCTGAGCTAGGGCAACGGCTCCCGTGCCTGAAGATATGGCTCCCGTGCCACCTGTGGCACGCGTGCCATAGGTTCCCCATCACGGGCTTAGCTTAACTGCCCTGTATAGAAGAGATTCTTTTTGTCTGTATTAAGCTCTGAGCTCTAAAAGTAAACTAACTAGACTGCTGAAATGAAACTGAAAACTGTTCTTTCCTCTGCTGCTGGCATTGTATGTGTTATTTTATATATAAAGAGAAGTTAATGAATCCTGCTGAATTGTGCTTTGTGTGCTTTCTGGATTTGATTTTTGCAACAAACTCTGACACAATTATGTATTAATTATATATTGATGGCTGTGACATGCCTCCAAATAAGATTTACAAATTTCAGCTGCTGCAAGCTTTTTTATTATTATTATTATTATTTTTATTTATATGCCGCCCTTCTCCGGAGACTCAGGGCGGCTTACAATGCGCTAAGCAATAGCCTTCATACTTTTGTATATTTATACAAAGTCAGCTTATTGCCCCCACAATCTGGCTCCTCATTTCACCTACCTTAGAAAGGATGGAAGGCTGAGTCAACCTTGAACCTGGCGGGATTTGAACTTGCAGTAATTGCAAGCAGCTGATGTTAATAACAGTGCTTTAGTCCACTGTACTACAAGCTTGCTGGATTGCACGAAGCCGACACAATTTTAAATACTGCTCTTTGAACATTCGGATCTTCTAAAACCCTATTATTAATACCCAACTTTGTGGCACCATCTCAGGAAATATCCACAGGAAGGTCAAAAAGGTTGAGGTGATGGGTACAACCTGTGCCTGGCATCTTAACATTTTTGGACCCCCATGAAACCCACCCCCCACCCCGCCTGGTTTCTACAGTCTTGAGCTGTTTCTAGAAAGGCTTCGTTGCTGTACAATTTAGCAAGAAAAAAAAAAATAGAAGTACAGTAGGTAAAGATATTCATACATAGGTATAAAAATTTTCTTGCATGAGATAGGAAGGAAGGAAGGAAGGAAAAGGGGGGAAGGAAAGAAATAGAAGGAGAAGAAGGGAGGGAGGGAAGGAAGGAAGGAAAAGGGGGAAAGGAAAGAAATAGAAGAAGAAGGGAAGGAGGGAAGGAAGGAAGGAAGAAAAGGGGGAAGGAAAGAAATAGAAGGGGAAGAACAGAAGAAGGGAGGGAAAGAAAGAAAGAAGGAAGGAAGAAGGGAAGGAAGGAAAGGGGGAAGGAAAGAAATAGAAGGGGGAAGAAGGAAAGGAAGAAGGGAGGGGAGGAGGAAGGGAGGAGGGAAGGAAGGAAGGAATAAAAGGGGGAAAGGAAGGAAATAGAAGGGGAAGAAGGAAGGGAGGGAAGGAAGGAAGGAAAAGGGGGAAAGAAAAAGAAGGAGAAGAAGGGAGGGAGGGAAGGAAGGAAGGAAAGAAGGAAAGAAATAGAAGGGGAAGAATGGAGGGAGGGAAGGAAAGAAGAAAAAAGTGGGAAGGAAAGAAATAGAAGGGGAAGAAGGAAAGAAGGTGAGGGAAAGAAAGAAAGAAGGAAGAAGGGAAGGAAGGAAAGGGGGAAGGAAAGAAATAGAAGGGGGAAGAAGGGAAAGAGGGAGGAAGGAAGGAAAGAGTCAGGGAGGAAGGAAGGAAGGAAGGAAGGAAGGAAGGAAGGAAGGAAGGAAGGAAGGAAGGAAGGAAGGAAGGAAGGAAGGAAGGAAGGAAGGAAGAGAATATGAGGGGAAGGGAAGGGAAGATCAAATGTCTCTCAGATGGTAGGAAAACATCATGAGGCAGTGAATTCCAAAGGAGATTTCTACACTGTGCCAAGTAGCCCCTTTTTCTGATTCCCCTGATCTGCTCCCACCCAACCTCTTTCGAAGGGAAGACTGAGGGGAGCCCCCTGGTCCTTACTGGAAGTCAGAAGGCACGTCTGTGAACTGCCTGAGCAGGAACTCGGCCACGTGGCCAGCCTCAAAAGTGGTCGGTATGACGACATAGCGACCCTCTTTCAGGTCCGTCCTCAGGAAGACACTTCGAGAGTTGATGTAGATGGAGCCGGCGACCTTGGACTGTAGGGCGTGCATTCGATACGTCCGGTTGAGTTCCACCTGGGTGTAATAAAAAAAAAAAAATCAGAGAAGGAATTGGGAAAAGGATTGTGTCTGGGTTTCTCAACCTCGGTGGCTTGAAGATGGGTGGACTTCAACTCTCTGAATTCTCAACCTTCTCAACCTAGACGACTGGAAGATGGAAGGACTTCAACTCCCAGAATTCTCACCACCTCAACCTTTCTCAATCTTGACGACTTGAAGATGGGAGGACTTCAACTCCCAGAATTCTCAACCTTTCTC